AAATCAAGGAGAAACTGATGGCAGCAAAGTTTATGATGTATTGCTACAAAAAGCAAAATACTCAACAATAACCCACAACTATTGAACAGGACACATGCTAGGAGCATTCCATTACTGCAGTCCCTTCTCATTCTTAGCCATGCACCTATGTAACTTACAAAGAGATGTCACAAAGGTGCATAAATTTAAGACTACTACACTTCAGTACAGCACTTAATACATAAATGGAATTTTGCTAACTTACAAAACTTTTTAAGTGTTTAAAAGTTTACATTTGATAGTTCAGGTAATATTCTTTAAGTTCTTAAAACAAATTTTACATCCACATCATCCTCAAGGCATTCCCAGTTTAATAAGGCACAATTACATAGCAGTAGAAGGACACATTTCAGAATTTCCTTGATTGTAATCTTAAAAAAGTTCGAACAAGCCTATCATGTTGTATCACATTTCTGGAGGACTAGCAGGCCAAAAGCAGTTTGTTTGCCATTTTGGACTGCATCTCACAAGGAAATTGTCACGTGGCAGCCATAAACTAAGTATTAAGCTCCTAAAACTTAAGAGTTATGCAGCACCCTAAATCAAAGTGGACAGAACTAATTCCTCACTGAAGCACTTCCTCTACAACAGAACACAGACAAGCAAATATCACAAAGCACATCTATTTGCTTGATAGCCATTCTCTAGTCTTCTCTAATGTGCGTTGACAATACTGAAATTTTGAAATTTTCAAACTTTTAGACTTAGTAGAGTTTTGTCTTGATGTGGTGAAAGGTAAAAAAAAAAAAGTATGTTAGAGAGAACAAAAACTGTCTTCTTTTAGTGAAGACTGGAAGATGATTCTCTTGCCAAAGCCCCGTCTTTGTACTCCTTATTTTTCGTAATTAATTTTTCCTTCTCTCCCCAAAATACTTCATTCTTTATGGTTAGCAACCCATAAACTGAAGGTTCAAACAACAAAGAGGAGAAAAAGTTTATAGATTCTCATTTAAACAGCAAGTTTCTGCATATTTCTCACATGGCAATTGTTTTGATTTGAGAGCATAGAAGAAAGAACAGAGCATGTACTTCCAATTAGACTTTAAGTGCCTGCATATCCCAGGTGTATTTTGACCACAGCATTCATGTCTGAAAAGTGTTAACTTAAGCATATAGGCTTTTTTTGCCTTCACAGGAAAAAGAATGCAAGACTGATATTGAAGGGAAATACAACATGAAGATGTCCAAGGCTTCTATGAGGGCAGCTTCTTTCAAAAAATGGAAGTGTGAAATAGAAAGGGGTAGATATGAGGAAAATAAACAAACAATAAGAGTAGCAGAGGGAAAAACGACAACACAGAAAAAGACAGACTCACTATACCATAGTAATAACATTATAATTACTGGTGATGAGGCAAGCAGGCTACAAGTGGGGAACATCTCCATCTGTATTCTCCGTTGGACTAAAATTCTTTGATTCAATGGAAGACTGCTTTCTGGTACTCTTTTCGGCTTCACTAATTCTTGTCACTTAAAGATCAATGTTTTGGATTTCTGTATCAAAGCAACAATTTGGTTTTTTACTTTCTAAGACTTAAGTATCTTAAGTATCTTCCACAGAGGAAAATGAATGTCATGGGGGTCTGTATTTTTTCTTGAAGTGCAGTAAGAAATAGCAAAATAAAGAGTATGCTGCTTCTGTTTTAAATATTAGAGATTTTTTAGGTCTTGTGCATCAGCACTGCTCTTCAAACTCTTGAGCCTATTAAAATAACACTTGATTGCAGAGCCTGCAGAAATACTGAACACGTTAAAAACCTGTACATTCTGGGATTATACAAGCCCATGCAAATCTCAGCCCACAAGTGAATTTTGACAACTGACTGAACTTAAAGCATACTAAATGTCCACTTGACCCCTGAAGCTCCCTAGGGTTGCATGCTATAACTTGGGCATTTGACCACTGAAGGCTTATGTATAGTTCGTTTCTCTTTCTGAATTCAGAAGTCATAGGACATCACATATGACATACAGATCTATGGATAATCACTCTTTCTTTCAGGGGCAAGATAAAAACACTGATGTGACACTGTGGTGTAGAATTTTAACATACAAGATGTAAGAAAATCAGAATTACAGCTCTAGAGCTACCCTATCCCTTAGCATATTTAGGTTTTGCATGCAAATATATAACGAAGCAGAATTAGTTATGGTTCCCATGGGAACCATAACTGATTTTCCTGACCTGTGCAGCAAAATTCTCAACAACATCAAAAGATTAAAAATACTGCATTCGTTAAATTTTTTTCCTCTCTCCCCATCCCCAGACTGGCTAACTCCTTGAAATTAGGATAAGTGGACAATCAATTACTAACAGAAAGTTTAGACATTCACCCCGGTGAAATGTTTTAAAACAGTACAACATAGAGGAAGCACTCCATTGCAGTTCTAAGCCAGGAGTTAATAGAAGTTTTGAATATATTTTGAGCTGAGTAATCATTTCTGTAAATTTAAGAACAGGCCCTTTGCGGAGTATATTATAGACCAGCTATTCTGCTATTCAAGTTTTGAATTGTGCACATATATTTTTTGCTTACTTCCCCATCTCAACCTCAGATATATCTCACATTATACTTCTACAGGTCTGTCCTTCAGGAAACTATGTATCATTATTAGTTGAATTGTAACCAGCAACCAACTGCCCTTAGGAGTCCATATTTTAATGTCAAGCAAAGCTTTAGAGGACTTGAGATCCATGAATGCATCATTAAAATGGTCCAGGAGGGGTTGACATCTGATAATCTCTGCTCCTATGAAATTCAAAGAAACTGTTATTTGTTAAAAATCATTTCAAAAGGCATCTTAATTATGCCACATCATTTCTCAATAATGTTACTTTTCATCTATAAAGACTGCCTTTTGTCAGGCAAATAGTTTTCTCCAAATACACTGGGAGAAATTAAATGACTGCATGATTTGGACTTTATTTTTTACATGTATGATGAATTACATGGTATGCTGAAAGGAGGCTAAAAATCCTTAGTGTTTTCTATTGTAGGACAGATGAAATAGTGCAGAGTCCTTTCACACTTTTTTTCCCAACAAGTTTCTCTTTAGAAATGGCAGATTTATTAAAACCAAAGACAATGTCCTTTCTAGTAGCCTTACTTTCTGGATCTGAAATTTTGGTCAGAATAATGCTGGGGAGGGGAGATGTGGATGTATCTTTTAAATGGAGATGCCAAGTTATAAGTTTGAAGAAAAATATGTTGATTAAATCCTTATATACTTTAGGTGTGCATGAACTTACCAATGTAGTTTTATTGGAGGCCATTTTTATTGCAGACTTGCAGAGCTTTTACTAGAAAAATGCATGACAATTAAAAGGAAGTTTGCATTACTCAAAGAAAGGCATCCCAAGACAAGCATGGTCCTTGTTCCAACCCCCATGTATTCATTGCATACAACATCTCTTACACGGATTAAATCCAGAACAAAAAGTAGGTTACTACTTTGTCCGGCATAACCCAGTAATGCACCGTTAGGCTAGCCAGGATAAATGATACTGACAAGGTGGTATATAGGGTTGAAAAACGATTTTTCCCAAGGCCTTCAAAAGCACAGACACATTTCTAGGGAAAAGGGGGAGGACCATCAGGGATGCTTATTTCTTTAAACCAAATAGAACAAGAGTTCAGATTCTAGCAGTTGAAGATATACCTAAGGTATATTAATGGCAAATCTGATGGGGAACAGATACACATTTGCGGTGTAATGAATCACCCATTATTCTTATATGCTAGCAAATTCTTATAAACAGCAAATATTTATCTTAATGCAACTATAACGTTGCCTTCTGATTCTCAAGTTTGCAAGAGTAAAGGTCCTAGAACAATATTAACTCAGCTAAGATGTACATACTACACATTTAACCTACGCAAATTACGTTGAACACAATCCATCCCCTTTTCCATGTCATTTCTCATACCGACCAGCTCCATAGGCATGTATTGTCCCCGCCCCGCAGCGAGCTACAGAACTGCTAGAATTCCCCATATGCCTGGGTAAGGCAGGAAAGTCCTTTAAGGCCAGAAAGCCTCTCGGACTCAGCAATCCCGCCCAATCCTCCCCTGACATGGGAGGTGGATTTTGGCAGTCCCATGGGCGGTGGGCTAGGCGAGGTGGGAGAGGGGCCGGGGCCAGGGCGCCAGTCCCGAAGGTCTTGCCTTGTGTCCCCCCACTTGACAGGTAAAGAGGTAAAAAAATCCCCCCGAAACCCAACAATACCCCCCCCACCAGCAAACAGAGGCAGCCCTGCGGAGGCCTGCTGGGGGCGGCTGCGCCTCAGGCCTGCGGCGGGCGCACATGAGGCCAGCGGGGCCGCCCCAGGCGAGGTAACGGGGACGCAGGCCCCGGGCCGCTTCCGCCGCCGCTGACAGGGCCCCTTCCACGCCGTCTTCCCCCCGCCCCTTCACGTTTCCCCCGGGCCGGGCACACGCAGGGACCGCTGGCGGGCCGGCTTTGTCTGCCGCGCGGGTGCCGCTGCCCCCGCCCCCGGCGCTGATCTCCTTCCCCGGGGCGACAGCGCCCGCGGGTCCAGGGGCCTCCCTCCTTCCCTCCCTCCCTTTGCGGGTGTCGAGGCCCCGATCCCCCGACAGCTCCGCTCTGCCCGCCACCGCCAAGGAAGCGGGGGTGGGGAAGAAGCGGCGGTGGGGGGAGGCGGGCGGGCTGCGCTCCGCATCTCCCCGCGGCGGCCCGCAGCGAACCGCAGAGGAAGGGGGAGTCAGGGAAGGGGACTCGAGGGTGAGTGGGGTGAAAGGAGGTGGCTGCAGCAAGAGAAAAGAGGGAGAGAGAGAGAGAGAAGGATACAGACTTCAATGGTGCCCAGCCGCTTGGGTCTCCCGTCTCCTCCTGGCTCCCGCCCTGCGCGCACTGAGCGGCGGCGGCAGCAACAGCGACATCCGCGGGGGGCTGAGGCGGGGGGTGGGGGCAGGGAGAGAGAGAGAGGGCGGGCGGGAGGCGGAGGGCGGGGAGCGGCGCGGCGGTGGCTGGCGGGGCTGGGCTGGGCGAGCACTGCGCGCCGGCGGCTGTGACGGGGCAGAGCGCACGACGCTGCCGCCGCCTACGCGCGAGCCGCTACAACCTCCGACCGTCGTCGCCGCCGGCACAGGAGGGGGGCCAAGACGTCTCTCCAACGCGGGGCGAGCGCAGGACCGCGCCAGGCGTCCAAAAGAAGGAAGATGCCTCGCGGCGACAGGGAAAGCGACTGGGTAAGCCTGGGAGAGCGGACGGGGTTGGCGGACCCCGGGAGCCGCGGCCGCCATCATGGCCGCCGCTGCGAACGCGCGCCGGGCCGATGCTGCCCGCCGCCGCGGAGCGATGCCCTCGGCCGGTGCGGCCGGGCGGGCCCAAGGCGAGCGCTGGGTGGGTTTGAAGCTCGTTTGGAGGGATGCCTCTTGGAGCGCGGCCATTTCCCGCGTTGCGGTGGGGAGGCCCCGGCGTGAGCGAGGGGTGGGGGGAGGGAAGCGAGCTCGGAAAGCAGTGGGGCTCTGGCGCCCGAGAACTCATTCATAAGTGGGAAAAGGGGTCGGGGGAGTCGGCTGGGGAGGCTTCGCTGCGGGCGGGAGATCGGCGGTGAAGCAGAAAGGGAGGGGGAGCAGAGGGGGCGGGAAGAAAGGAGCCGCTCCAGCGCCATTTCTTTGGCACGCGGGGCGGCAGCACTCACCCTTTGTCGCGGTGCGTGCAGGACCGCCGGAGAGAGAAAAAGGGAGGGAGGGAGGGGATGCAGGAGGGGAGGAGAACAGAGCGGCGGAGCGGGTGGAACACCCGATGCCGGCGGTGCGGGGTAGAGCGGAGCGGGCTGCGGCGAAGTCCGCCTCCCTCCGACGGGACCCCGCGATGTGCCGCACTTGTGCCAAAATCTGTGTAGTTCTCACTTCTTCCTGCCCGAGCGGAGGGGAAAGGGGGCCAGGGCGAGGTTTCGGGAGGAGATGTGCGGCCGCCCCCGATTAATACTAACGCCGAGGTTTGAGCCTTCGAGGCCTTTAGTCAATTTCTGTAAAAAACAAAAACAAGTGATACGGTGCCAGCAGCGTTCGAAGCCGCTTCGGCTACGCTCGGGCACGTCTCGCGAGCCTGTCGGTTGTCGGAAACTGCCGAGCTGGCTGAAGTAGTCGATGACTTGCTGCGTCTTTCTGTCCGGAAATTGCCGAGCTGGCGCCGAGCGCCATTTTCGTGTGCTGCGGCAGATTCCGGAAATTACCGAAGCGAGTCGAATGGGCTTCCATTCCTGGTTCGGCTTTTTCCGGCGGGTGTCGAAGCTGATAAGCTCAACGACGACAGCTCCTTCGGCTCATTTCGGAGACGGCCATTACTAACGGAGTCGATGACTTTTCATTACATGATAAAAACACGTAGGGGCGTTATTCAGAACTGCAGCCCCTTTGGAGATATTTAGGCTCCAGATCCTGGCCTTTTTTTTTTTTTTTTTTTTTTTTTTTTTAATTAATTAAACCTCGGAAGGGAGCCCAGGCTGGAGTAGGAGGGCGCTAACACTACCCGGAGCTGAATTTCAAATTACGTAACAGCTTAGGCAGCCATTACCGACCGGTTGTACGGTACTCTCGAGCAGGAATACGTAAACCATGAAGAACATGGTACGTGGAATGGGAAGATGTAGTTTGCTTTTAAGAAGGGAGACGCGTTTGCTTGTGCAGACAGAATGAATTTTTTCGGGGCTGGGAATTACAAGCAAGCTTGAGTCGTCCGCACAAGTCCGGGCGCTGCTGCTGGGTCGCAACGCGGGGCGGATGCTGGATATCTTTGCGCAGAGGAAGGTTCTGGAAGCGGCGACTGGGGCTGGCGCGCAGCCGGGCGAGGCGGCGGAAGCTGCGGTAATCGCGCATGGCGGACAGCGCGTTTCTTGAGCCCGTGGCCATGACTATTAGCTGCGCTGCTGCTGAGGTGTCGTCGGAGGAGGGGGAGTCGGAGCTCCGCGGGCCGGGGGCCGTCTTGGCCCCGCGAGGCGCGGAGCGGCCGAGGCGGCGCTGCGGGTAATGGCGGTGGCGAGGGGGAGGGGTAAAATGGCGGCCCGGCCGAGACTCGCGGCTGCAAGGGGCCAGTGGGGATCGCTCCGGCAGAGCGGGCAGGGCGCGGGCCGGCTGTAGTCGTCTGGTATCCACGGGAGCGAGAAGGAGCGCCGGAGAGCTCTTTGTACCGTGTGTGTGTAGGTGCACGCTAGCAGCAATTTGCAGCGGTCTCCCTGGAGGCGGCGGCTGCTCCCGGGCGCCATTTTCCCCGCCCGGCGCGGGGCCGCGGTGTTCCCGCTGCCGCCACATGGCGGAGCCGGCCCGGCCGCTGCGTCCCCCCGCCACAGGCGGCAGGCGAGCTGCCGCTCAGGGATTGCACAGCCCTGGAGTTCAGGGATATCCCCCTCGCTTGTCTTCGTTAAACATTTCTGTTGCCCGAATTCTTAATTCCACAGTGTGGATTGTGTGTGTGTGCGCACGTTACTGCTATATAAAACACTTTTAATTTCTCTGGTGTTTAATTTTTCAGTAAAGACTATGCATTTTCCAGTCCTTTCAAGTTGCTTTAAGCCTGTGAAGGAAACTTTAAAATACACACAGATGAAGATCCTACAGAAGTTGTAAAAATTTCCCCTGGCACTTGGTGCCTGCCACGGGGTGTACTGTGGAAATCTCGAAAGAGGTGTTACCTCCAATTTTTATGTTGTGGCCCTTCGTAGGAATGAGGTGTCTGTCTTTACCACATGAGTATTTTCCTCAGGATTTTAAGAGTTAATGGCACGATGATAGTTATTGAACATTTTACACCTTCAGCACCAACTTCAGATGGGCAGAACTCTGATGGGAGGTTCTTGAAACTGGCTTATTTAAGACGAGTAGCTTCTCCACACCTAGAGATCGTGTGTTAGTGGAGCAGCATGTGTGTGCTGTCTTTGCACAGTGGTTTTCATTAAAGAACTGGTAATGAATTTCGTTATTGCTGTTTTCTTACGTGTATGGTGCCTAGATGTCATTCTGTGTAGGACATGACCCTAAATACATTTGTAAAACTCACTACTATCCTGTTCAATGTCTGTTTGTTATATGTAGTACATTTTTATCATTGTTACAGCTGATAGATTCCATTCTTCTCTTGAGTTCTGTTTACAGGTTTATAGCTGTTTTCAGGGATAAACGTAACACTTACTGAAATACCCTACCTGCCTAAGTTTGCTTGATTCTCATATTTTTATATTAATATTAATTATTAAATGTATGGCAACTGATGATACAGGAAAAAGTGTCTTTTGTAGGTCTATGAAACTGTAAGCAAGTGGTCCCTAATTCTTAAGCAGCAGAACGCTAAAGGATTTTTATTGTTGTAGTATTGTTGCTTAAAAATATTCAGTTGCCATCCTACTCAAAATTAATAAATAATAGTGTGACATATTGTGACTATATGATTTTTTTAATACTGGTCTGGTTTGCAGCATTCTTTCGTTTGTTCTTTTATGCAGTGAGGTGAAACGAAATTACTTCAAACATGTGTCTGCTGCTTTTGACCACTTATTTTGCCTGTCTGTGCGAGGAGGAGACAGTACTAGCTTTCTTTGTGTTTCTAGAAGAAAAAAAACTAGTTCCAACACTCCAGATTCCAAGTATTTTCAAGAGAAATTTGAACTGATCAGTCCTAAATAAGAGTATGCATTTGGAAGAAGGAGGGGAGGAAGTTGACTTCTTGTCAGATTGCAGTATGTCAAACTGGTGATATGGAGGTGCATTTTGAAAAAAAACCCTGGTTTGTTGCTGCCTACAGTAATTGTCTGCTATTATATGCATCTCAATCCACGCCTGCCTTGGACTTGTTGGTCTACGTGCAAGTTGGCTTAATACTTCTAAAAGCATATGTGCACTGAAGTATTTTGCTTGTTTTCTTAGTCTCATTGTTTTCCTAGTTTCCTTTTAAAAATTACCTTCATGTCCATTGCACAGTTAATCACGTAGTGTTTGTCACTTACACTTAATGCTGCAATGTTTGAGTTGTATAAAAAACAGCCGACACACTAAAGAAACATACAACCAAACACCCAAACAGATTTTCTTGAATTTTAGAGTTAGTTAACAGTATAAAGCTGAAGTGATTTGGTTTGAGTTCTCTTGCCCCTGGCAGAACAGTTCTCTTCAAAACAATATTCTGAAATAATAAATTTGTGGAAGGGGACTACTTCTTAGTGCATTTTTAAAATTATTTGGCATGAAATTTTCGCATGTATGAACTGACGTAGTGATACTTTTGTGTGTAGAAACTGGCAGTTACAAGGCCTGATTTGTAGGAAAAGTTACTATAAAAGTGTTTTGAACTGGTAGAAGTTGGAAAGTTGTCCTTTCTGCTTTAGTTTACCACAAAGTATAAAAATTATAAAAAAATTCAATACCTTATTACTGGTCCTGATCTTACTTGGATTTGTTTGGGGTTTTTTATTATGTGTTTGTTGTTGCATCAGAGATTGGTGCTGAACAAGTGCAATTATAATTTCTGTGCAAGGAAATAAAAGTCTTACTGAAAGTGTGATATTAGTGAATATGTATTATTCACATTTCTACTTTAAAGGGAATTATTTTAATACTGCTCCTGTTGAGGGTGTATAGGTTTGTTGCTAATTCCAGTGGTGTTGGATCCCAGATTAATTTTACAGATGCTTAACTTCCATTTGTTTTAGTAATGATGGAGAAAATACGAATTGTTATCCTGTTATAGAACATATTTAGATTTATTTAATGTATTTTTACTTAAAATGCCTTGGATGAATAGTACTATAGTATTCATGTAAAACAATTTAAGCCAGAATGGTTTTTAGACATTATTATTACCTGGGATAGAATCAGACAGTATCAATTAATTAATATTTTCTATAATAAAAGCAAATCCCAAAGTTCTCTTTCATTTCCTTAAAAAGTATCTCATATGGGTTATTGAGCGGAATATTCTGGAAGTTTTCAACTGTGGTCCCTTGTTTTTCATATCTAGAGGGAGATACAGGAATAAGGACTGAAAAAATAAAATCTGTATTGTAAAAGTGGACTTGCAGAATTGAATAAATTACTTGATTTCCTTAATAGGGTAGAACCTTCAGAAGAACCAAGTCTCATTTTGAAAATAAGACTTACTGAAAGCTTTTGATTCTTAGGAAAATCTTGGTTAGTGTCTGATTTGCAGAAGAGGTGTTTTAAATTATATTAACGTAATCTCTTTTTTGTTCTCTGGCAGAGGGAAAAGGAGCAGTTCCGCAAACTGTTTATTGGCGGTTTAAGCTTTGAAACCACAGAAGAAAGTTTGCGGAGTTACTATGAGCAATGGGGAAAGCTTACAGACTGTGTGGTAAGTTTAGCATACTAATACATAGCAATGGCATGGAATATGTAGGAATTTTAAATGGGAGTTGGTTTCAAGATAGCTTAGAGAAGATGGAACATTTGATTTTAATGGTACAGTTGGTTGGTTTATACACAGTTCATTCCATTGTAGCAGTGCATGCATTTTTCTCTTGCAAACTTGGTAGAGTTAGGGAGCATTCGTAATCTGTTTTCTGCACAATTCTCCCAGATTATCTCTAACCACTGATTTCAACAGTTCAGCTTTGCTGTCGTTCGCTGAAGTGCATTAGGAAGTGCTTACACGGAGCACTATTACATCTGTGTGGTTGGTAACATTTGGCAAAAATCTGGTATTGTGGTAAGCAGCCTCAGTAAAGCTGGAAGAGGATGTTTTTCTCTGTGAGGTTTTTTTAGAGTCATTAAGGTTGGAAGAAACCATTTAGGTCATCGACTGTTGATTGAGCACTGACAAGTTCATCACTAAACCACGTCCATAAGCACAGTGTTTGTGTGTGTCTTTTAAATACTGACAGGGATGGTGGCTCTGGTAGAATTGTCTTGGGAGTAGTAAGTCATAACACAGATTTAAAGTCTGTGGTCTTCATTAAGCCTAAAAGAAATTATGCGTATGTTTTGTTTTGGTTTTTTTTTTTTCCAAAAATGAATGTAAATATAAATGCACCTCACTGATCTAGCAGCATTTCTGAGTTAACTGAGTTTTGGAGGGCAACAGTGGTTTGAACTTTGATCCCAAGCAGTGTCACATATACATAAAGTCTGCAACTTTACAGTAATTGTGTTTTGAAATCAAATCGAGGAAAATGTAAGTTAGGCTTACACACTTATTCTTAACACTGTTAGCATAAAGCTTAACATGAGACAGATACAAATAGTTTAAACGTCTTTATTGTTTTTAGGTAATGAGGGATCCCGCAAGCAAAAGATCAAGGGGGTTTGGTTTTGTAACATTCTCTTCTATGGCTGAAGTTGATGCAGCTATGGCTGCAAGACCTCACACAATTGATGGAAGGGTGGTTGAGCCTAAAAGAGCTGTGGCTAGAGAGGTAAGTATGGCTTTGAAAGCAAATGCTTCTCATGCTTTGAAAAATACTGTTTTGGTCGTACAGTTAGGCTTTGTTCTTGTTTGAAATTGTGTGGGTTTAAGTTACCTGGTTAAAAGCCCATAGTTGGGGCACTATTTCCCACACTTTTGGTCTCTTATCTAAATATGGATTATTACAGTTAGTTATTATGTTGTTTAGGTTGTGGAATCATGTCTGCAAGGGACGCATGTGGGGTCTGAAAACTGTTGTAGCAAACATGTTATGTTGAGTATCTGTAATTACACAAATTCCAAAGTTAACTCTTCTCTGGAATAGTTCCTGTTACAAGCTTCAAATTGATAAACTCCTGTCAGTCTTTCTGACTCTTCCAAGATGTTTTTGGGGTATTTCTAAACGGTACATTAAAACAGAGAATATAGTGGGGACACTTTCTCAGTGGTGATGTGCAGAATGTGGACTTGTACTGGTTTTAGCTCCAGGCATACTTGATTTCCACTTCAGGGTACAAGTTAGGGTTATGTGTACAGGAACAAGATGAACCTGTAAGCTGGGTTACTGTGACACAGCGGTATTGAGGAGCAAGGGTGGATTATAAGGCAAGTTCCATTCACCCCGTGGGAGCTCTTGGGAGGGTTTACCAGATTAACGTTAGACTGAGGTGTTTAATACATTTGGACTGATGAACTGGTTTTGAATGAGCTGTCCCAAAGGTATGGGGAAATTGAAATTGTAATCACTGGTACCCCTGTTAGCTATCCCAGTTTTCTTTCAGTTCTCTACAGAATGCAGGGTTGGTTAGCATTTGGAAACAGGTAATTAATTACAGCATGTGTGTATACTATTTAATGGGTCAAAATGCATAGTGAATTTGCCGAGATTGAAGGACCTTCATACAAGCCCGAATGTGGGTTCACTGCTGTCGGGGGAATTGGGTAGAAGAAGCTGATGCATCTTCGTTGAAACAATTAGAAAAATCATGCTCTAACTTATGAAGTACTTGCAGTTCTTTCAAACAGTTAATCTGTATCGTTTTTCAGTGCTTTTAAGGCTTTGACATAAAGGGGGGAGGAAAAACCTCCAAGTAAGCCTGTTATTTTCCTCGCAGAAGGCCCCCTAAATGAGCTTGCAAGGTCATGCCTCGTTAAAGGGCTGTACCTTAGTGCTTGAAAAATCCTGGTTTATCTGAATTCTGTTCCTGAAATCCTGGTAAAATAGTGCTTTATGAAATTGTTTTTCTTTGTGCTAATTAGAAAAGTTCTTTTAACAGGAATCTGGAAAACCTGGTGCTCATGTTACTGTGAAAAAATTATTTGTTGGTGGGATTAAAGAGGACACTGAAGAGCACCACCTTCGCGACTACTTTGAGGAATATGGAAAAATCGACACTATTGAAATCATTACTGACAGACAGTCTGGTAAAAAGAGAGGATTTGGATTTGTTACATTTGATGACCATGATCCTGTGGATAAAATTGTATGTAAGTAATTTCACTCTTTGCTTGGACAGTATTAATTCTTGCTGCCTCGGTGGTTGTGTAAAACTAAATACATAGAGAGAGTGGGATTAATTACGTGCCTGCATATATGTTTAAATCATCGGTTGCTGAATTGTGTGGAAACACGTATTTCAAATAAGTACTGACATCCTTGTTTAAAAATCGTATGCTATTTTGTGTTCTTTTATATGATTCAGAATGTGTTTCGATTGGGAGTCAGATATTCTGACTTGTTGCCAATTAAATGCTGATAGCCTCTTATTTGATATGGTTACAGTGCAGAAGTACCACACCATCAATGGCCATAATGCAGAAGTAAGGAAAGCTCTCTCTAGACAGGAAATGCAGGAGGTTCAAAACTCTAGGAGTGGGAGAGGAGGTATGTACAAGTAATAGTTAATGGTTTATGGATGATTTTTGTGTTCACTTTCCACAATCTCACTACTTACAAACATTAAACTGGTACAGGGAACTTCGGTTTTGGTGATGCTCGTGGAGGTGGCGGCAACTTTGGTCCAGGACCTGGCAGCAATTTCAGAGGGGGAGCTGGTAAGACAGGCATGTTTGTAGCATTTACGTTTTTTACCTTATTAATACTGTCTTTCTGGTTCTGGATAACTTTGTATGCTGTGGCGCTGTTTAACTTAAATGTAGCTATAACAGTTGAGAGAATTTTTGGGAAAAGTAATTTGCAAATGAAGTTGTGTTTTTGGTTTTTTGTTTTGTTTTGGTTGGGGTTTTTTAGTTGGTTTGTTTTGGTTTTTTTAGCTTTTATTGAAAGCCAGAAGTAATCTAAACTTAATTATTTGCTAAGAAGGTCAAAGATTTCTCTGATTCTATGCAGCGCTTGCCTGACCTTTTAAAACTGGGTACTGTACAAATGCAAGAAAAGGAAAAAAGTAGAGCGGTGATTAGATGTTTTACTTTTCTGAAGTTAATGGTACATGTTCTTAATTGATAATTTCTCAGATTTAGTTCTTAAGGTCATAAGGGTTTGAGAATTTGACTAGTTTGCTATAGGTAAATTGAAATCCTTTGGGGTTTTTTCTCCTGATAGATGGATATGGAAGTGGCCGTGGATTTGGTGATGGATACAACGGATATGGCGGAGGACCTGGAGGTTAGTTTGCTGTTGTGATGGTGATTTTTTTTTTTTTCTCACTGAGAAACACTTCCGTATTCATATCCATATCTATAAAATTTACCTGAATTACCTAAGCCATCTTGTTGGCTTTAAGAAGTGTACGTGGTTGTTGGCTTATGTCTAATTTCCATATGGCAAATTGTATGGTCATTTCTTGGACAACCATTCTTTTCATTAGGATAGGAGCGGGTCTTAAATTTCCTGGAAAATGAAGATTACACCTTTCAGTTGAAGTCTTTAGGCAGTCTGATAGTAGAGTTCAGTTATGGTGGAAGTTTGTATGTGCTTTAAAAATACTGTTCATAGAAGTTTCTTTACAAAACTAAAGAAACAGAAATATATGCCTTGTGTATAATTTGAGTGCATTCTTTATGGAGAAATTAATTTCAAAGGATTATGTTTTCACAGGTGGCAACTTTGGTGGCAGTCCTGGTTATGGAGGAGGAAGAGGAGGCTATGGTGGAGGAGGACCTGGATATGGCAACCAGGGTGGGGGCTATGGAGGTGGTTATGACAACTATGGAGGAGGTAACATTTAGGGTTCAAACGTTCAAGCATTTCAGCTACAAATTACTGCAAGTCTTTTGAGGCTGGGGAAGGGGTGTTTGTAAGTTTTTCAAGTAGTATGAAATAGAATGAAAACAATGTTTGGTTCATGCACTGCTGGAATACATATATGATGTTGTACTTAGAATTTTTATAATGGGGTATCTTTGAGTGTTGTATCCATTTTAGCTATCTAGTTATTTCTCCACTTCTGTATTGATAATGCAGGCAATTACGGAAGTGGAAACTATAATGATTTTGGCAACTACAACCAACAACCTTCAAATTATGGTCCGATGAAGAGTGGAAATTTTGGTGGCAGCAGGAACATGGGGGGACCATATGGTGGAGGTATTGTATATGTCTTGTATATTTCCTTGTAGCTGGAGTGGGTGGACTTCTAGGAATTTGGGGAAAATAGAAGATATGGGGTAACTGTTTTGAACTAAAAAAATGGTAGACTGAGATTAGATATTAGGAAAAAATTCCTGAGGGTGATGAGGCACTGGAACAGGTTGCTCAGAGGTAGTGTGAGTACCCCATTGCTGGCCATGTTCAAGGCAGGATTAGGGGCTTTGAGCATCCCGGTCTAGTGACACATAACCCTGCCCATGCCAGAGGGGTTGGAATGGAGATGACCTTGAAAGGTCCCTTCCAACCCAGGTCATTCTATATGATTCCAAGATGGATATGTAAAAATTGGATAACTTCTGCAGTAGATGGACTGCAGTGCCTGTGTTCTTCCTGCAAGTTGGCTTCAGTGTCTCATCTTGGGATTATAAAGCTCGTCTCAGGGAAAATTATTATTTTGAAACAGATAAAATGTACTAACTTTTTCCACAGTGTTTTGCAATTTTGAGTTTAAAGCTTCTATTTCACTTTCTTTGCTGTCAGCTCACACTATTTTTGTAGAGTCTAGTTGCTTAATTTCGTACTTAATCATATTTGCTGTGATTGCTTTTTTTTCTGTCACTTCCTGGTTTTTGTTGTCTAAATGTTACTTAATATGGAATATCAGGCTTGTGAAATGGAAACAGAAGCATGAAGCCCTTTTTTGTAAGGTTTAGCCTGCAAGCAAATTCAGCCCTCACAGGCTCAAGACAGCACAGTGCATCAAATTACATATGGCACTGTTGAATCTTCTAAGATTTCACCATGTGGTTGCTTCCTGTGGCAGTCTTTGGAGGTTCTTTAGAGGAAGACAGTGAAATGTTAGAAGTCTTTGTTGCATATGCTGTCACTGGAAGTAAAGCAGATGTCACTCTTCATTCAGTCAAGCTTTGATTGTTTCAGTCAAAACTTTCCTAGATTAAAAAAATGTACTGATGGGACTATTCTGTTTCGTATTCTGCAACGGCAGGAAACTATGGTCCAGGGGGCAGTGGAGGAAGTGGTGGATATGGAGGGAGGAGCCGTTACTGAGTTTCTTCAAGCATGCCATGGGTAAGTATATTTTTAAGTGTTAAAATTGCAGTGATTCTTGAGAGTAGCTGCAGGAGTTAAAAGCTTTTTAGGATATTATCTTTCCTTTAAAAAATGGTTAGATGAATAATTTCATAACCTATTTTTTTACTCTTTACTTCTGTTGAAACAGGCTTCACTGTATAAATAGGAGAGGATGAGAGCCCAGAGGTAACAGAACAGCTTCAGGTTATCGAAATAACAATGTTAAGGAAACACTTATCTCAGTCATGCATAAATATGCAGTGATATGGCAGAAGACACCAGAGCAGATGCAGAGAGCCATTTTGTGAATGGATTTGGATTATTTAATAACATTACCTTACTGTGGAGGAAGGATTGTAAAAATGCCTTTGAGACAGTTTCTTAGCTTTTTAATTGTTGTTTCTTTCTAGTGGTCTTTGTAAGTGTAGAAGCATTCCTTTGATAATGTTAAATTTGTAAGTTTCAGGTGACATGTGAAACCTTTTTTAAGATTTTTCTCAAAGTTTTGAAAAGCTTTTAGCCAGGATCATGGTGTAATAAGACATAACGTTTTCCTTTTAAAAATTTAAGTGCGTGTGTAGAGTTAAGAAGCTGTTGTACATTTATGATTTTAATAAAATAATTCTAAAGGAAATATTGTGTAATTTTAGATTTTTTTTTTAATACTGTAAAATAAGGCAAGGAGTGGGTAGTATAAGGTCCCACAAATAATACAAAGCTATTGTTGTACGTGTAAAATTTAATGCTGGTGAGAAAAAGTATGTTGTCTGTAAATTACCAGGTTTAAAATATCTAGGTAACTTAAGGGGTATCTCTGCAAGGAGAAACACCTTTCTAGATTTTTTAGATGCTGCTTCTTCAATGGCAAGGAAAGGAAAACCCCCCAGCAAGGTACTCTTCCAGGGACGCAGGTCTAGTACAAGAGAACTCTTGAAAACGTCACTAGAAGTTCAGCCAGTCTTAAAAAGCTGTGCTGTATCTCTGCAAAGCTTTAACTACGGTAGATTGTTTATAAGGATGGCAACGAAGGCTGAGGGTGTAGAGCAAAGTAGTTCTAAGCTTCAGTTAAACTTCTTTAGGTAAGATCTTATTTACTTTTCCTTTCTTAATGTTTCAAAACCAAGAAACTAATAATGTATGACAGTATTCTTTCAGTATAGTGATTATCATTATGTAGTTTAACATAGCAATGAATTAACAATTACAAATTGAAAAGAAACTTGTGAATCCTGTTTTCTTGTATTATTAAATTCTTTTACAAAAAAAATTGTTAATTTCAGCTACTTAACATATTTTTTTCCTACTGGAATCTAGCTATGATATGAACCCTGGACAAGCATAGACTGCTGCCACTGTACACTGCTACAGTTGAACAAATGAGACCTGCAAGTGTCCATTAGTAAAGCTTTGCAAGGGTTCCATCCTTGGTGTTGGTAGTTAAAATGGTAGGTCACAAGTTAATTAAATCATACAACTTTATTTTTGCATCCTGCAACATTTTCTTTTTTCTTGGGAGTCTATGCATTATGGTGGTTGCAAGGTAATGCAATGAAGGTAGTTCTGTGCTGTTGAAAATGAACTATGTTGTTACGTGTCTTGTCTGCTGTAATCTATTCTATATAACGCATTTCATCCTGAAGGTTCCCAAGTAACTGTAGACTGTTTACGTGTAAGGAAAAATTGCACCACAGAATACATCTGCCTCTGTGAAGGAATGTGTCGTCCATTCTTTTAACAACTGCATAAGCAGTTCTTTAGGAGGGGAAGTGAAACCTTCAAATGAAACTGCAGGTGGTATTTCATAAGCGTACAATGTATTTCAGTAAATTGGAATTTGGCTAGAATGTTGAGGTTTCCACCATTTTTTATAGTTCTTGCAGCTAACAAACCTTAGTGCCAAATTTATTCAGCCTTACTCTCACTTCATTGAATGTTTGCACCTCAAATTGATGGAAATTTATCAAGTAATGAATTAATTACTCAGAGTAAGGGTGGCATACTCTACTAGATTCGGTTTTAAAATAAAAATCAACAAAACCTACCAAAAAGAAGGCAACCAAAAATGCCTTAATTTCAAAGTTCATTGCCTCTAAAAGGCTACCTATTGAAGAACGTGGACTCAGCTAACAAAAGTCCTGTTCCTTTTGTGTTAGACACACCAGTGAACTGCTTATACTTTTTTTTTTAAAAATGGCTGAAGTTCCCCTATTGGTAATTTGGTTTAGACATATGTGATAAACATCTTCAGATACACTTTTTTTTTCTTTGGCAGGAAGGTGCCATGCTGCAGGTAACTAATGAAGAAGTGGTCAACCACAGAAACGCTTCAAGAAATAAGAAATTCTGTATCATCAGAAAATAGTTGTTTTTGCTGCCTTCATTAAAAATCTAGAGGTTAAATGAATACTGATAAAACATCACAATTAGTACAGCTCCCTGTAATGATGGGTTTTTTAAATTATAGTAAAAATGTCTTGTAAACCTTTCGAATAAAATTCAGATTCGTTAGGAGAAACAAATCACTAATGTTAAAAGAGCAAACATTCTGTGAGTAGAAAGTTTAACTACATATATTTATAACTTTCATAGCTTTAAAATAAAGTATTTTTATACCAAAATAGTTCTAGTGTAATGCTTAATAAAAACTTAGCGTGTATCTAACATTAAATAATGTTTATGTTTAGACCCTTTCATGATTTGAAACATTCCATTTTGAGGTGAATTTAAAACAGAATCAGTTTGACAAGTGTGTTCATGGAACTTGTTTCTCTGACCATGGGCATCTGTTCTCTTTTGGGAGAAACAGTGCTGCAAATTTGAAGTGCTGATGTCTTTGCTGTTGGACACAAGTGCTTAAAAGTAGCTTTTTTTTTGGCTGTGTTTTACATTATCTCATACTTTCTGGTTAATGAAACTACAACCTAAGTCAGTTTATCAGATTGCAGTAGGACAAGAGCTTTATCCTTTTCACTTTCAAAGAGCTTTTAGCATGAAGACAGACAAACTGACTAGAATGTAGAGTTCCTGCTGTACAAAACTGTATTACCCATAGCTGCATCTGGGCATGGAAGAAAAATACCAAAACAAAAAATGCCAAACCAAACAAAACCACTAAAACAAACACCAAGTGTGAGCTTGGGAAAGCTTCAGATGGGAGTGTATTTAAGGGAAGGTATCTTGAGGTTATACTGTTTTAACCACTTCATGCATGGTTTATTCAAAACTTGAAATTTATATGCTTTGGCAGAATGATTGTGTCTTTAACCTTTATAATGCTGTTTAAAGATTCACATACAATTTTCTTCTGTTTCTTAAGTTAAGCTTTGAAATACTTACATAGGTAACCGGTGGGCTGCAATGGAAACAGAAAATGAAGACGCACAAATCTACTTTACTTTCTTCTTTCCAACAGAATGACCAGATCATGAGGAATTTGCCTTCTTTCCTGTAACTTAGATGTAGTTGATGGAAGTTTTTTCTTTACAGTTTCCAAGTCCACATTCATACACCATTTTAAAAAACTGACAAAACCACTTCAAAGGGCTGTAATTATTTTTTTTTTTTTGTTTAAAGTACTATTTCTGTAGTTCAGCAACAGGGTTTCAAGTTTACTTGAATTGAGTATGTTTTCTATGAGGATGTTCTCATTTTAATCTGTTGGCAGTGGGGGAAGGGAGCGTATAAGGGGGACAGCACTGTGCAAGGATGAAGTTACACTGGATATTTAAAGTCTTGAAAACCTTGTGTATCTAAGTTTCCTGATGTCCTACTATTGAACTTTCATGACTTTTCTCTTGGTATGGTCTTAAAAGTTAAGGCACGTGACAGTCAACAGATATTTACTAGTGAATGCGGTGAGAGAAGTCACAGTTTTGAATCAACCTGATACTGAAAGTGAGCAACTTTAAAAGCACTATCTTGCGGTCAGTTACTGGTCATCAATTTGTAGACAATGGATTCTTACTTTATATCGAGTTGGATTTTTTCACTACAGGCTTTGTTCTCGTGCAAGTGTAACATCACAGTGTTTCCAGGTACTAACAGCTGAGGCTCAGGTTGTCAGTACTAGGTCCAGCTTTCCCCCAGCGAACACTTTGTGCAGCAAACGGAGGGAAAAAAGGAAAACAACGTAACTTGTTGGTAACTGGTATGTGAGCCAAAGAACACCCAAAAGTTGGGTATGACTTGTATTTGTAAAGCGATGGTGAAAAGAGGTCAGTAGTAGGGTTCTGGCCACTCACACTTTGTGTCATTTACAATGAAAGTTGAATTTTATTCACTTCTGTTGTGCTAAAAAACATTCAAGAAAATGTGAACAATTGCTGTAAATACCGTAAAATGAACAGGACTTGATATCCGTTATGTGTAGGAAAGACTGTAATCTTTCAGTTTGATGATGAATGTACTTGATCTCTTGGTGATGAAGTCCTATCACTTCTGGGGAAGAAAACCCAAGCGCCAGAAATGGATCTGAATTTTCAAGCATTTGTCAGCTGAGTTTGTTCTGGCAGCTTTACCTCATTGGTAGAGGATAATTTGCTGGGAACATAGTGGGGCTGTACATTCCCTGTAGGTTTAATGTTTCAGTTGGTTTTTGAAGCAGTGTGTGTGATGCAAGTGAAACCCCATATAGTGCTGTTATTTCTTTTCCACCTATGAGAGGTGGCTGTTGCTCTTCAGCCATGTTTATTCAACCATACTACTCAGTGTGTCTAGGAATGTATAGAAGTGTTTATGGAAGGGTTTGCCTGGGTAATAATGATCCATTTTGCCAGAAGTACTGTCCCTTTTAACAGTCATGTTTTGCTTTGCAGCTGCTTTCGGTTTGTGTTGCATAGAAATTTTGTCAGGAGTTACTCCAGGTAATGGGGCAATAACTGGTTTGTTTATCAGCAATAAAGTTAACAGTGGATAAACAGCTGTATGACTTGCCTGACAGAGTGCTATGAACATACTAGGTCAACAGTGTTGGGGCACCTCGTAGTCACAAGCTTGTGTGACCTCCCATGTTTCTTCACTGTACGGAAAAGGGTGACTGGGGGAAGGTCCTAGAAAATTGCTGTTACCAGCACTCTTCCCTCTCCCGTTTGGTTTATTTTGGGGCATTTTTGTATGAAAAGGGGTGGCTGATGGACTTCATGGAGTTCTAGTAGCTCTAGTTCATGTTTCAAGTTGCAGTACTTTATGAGGTACACTACACTAAACAGACTCTTCACCTGGTTATATCTGCCATCTCTATCTGGTTTACTTAATAAAGTTTTTCACTATGTCCTGGTGTTGAGTGTCCTGTTGTTTCATTTATAGGTCTCTGCCACCTCTGTACTCAAGATTGTTAGAACTGTACTGACTCTTAGAGGATGAATTAGTGTGTGTGTGTGTGTGTGTGTGTGTGTGTGTGTGTGTGTGTGTGTGTTTTGGGGGACAAAGATTTGCAAATTCATACTCGAAGTGCTTTGTCTTTTCCTCAGTGAAGTTTGTTCTGGTTCCCCCATCTAAAACTAGATTGTAAGCTCTTGAGCAGGAACATCCTTAGCTTGTAAAATCTGGCATTGTAAAAAGCCAAATTTATTAAATAAAACCTAAAACATGAATTTAGAGGTGCAGTGTTTCAGCAGAATGCTGTGTTTGTTCTGGGACCGCTTGTTCACAGATGCCTCTACAGGAATGTATCCAGCCTTGCAGGTCAAAACCCATGCAATGGAGGGTTGTAATTTAATGGAGTACTCGGCTTGCATTTGTTGGTGTGGATGTTTCTCCAGAACAGGTATGAATCTTAGAGCAGCCAGCAGGTAATACTCCACAAAAAAGGGGAATACAGTATGTGTGTGTGGTTTCCTTTTACTTAATCTGACCTTTCCTGACCTCTTGCAGTTTATCACTGAAGTGTTGCAGACCACTTAAAAGCTTTGCCATTGGAGCAGTATTTTAATGATCACTTCTGTATTTCTATTTTTTCTTGCTGTTGTCAACAGCTACATTTACAATTATGAGCTTAGTGGTTTCCTTCAGAAAATGGTATACTTAAAAATGTTTTCAGACTAATTTTAGAGACTTGTGTTTCAACGAAGCAGTAGTAAGGTAGGATGCAGTTGTCATGGTTTTGTCACATCCGACTTCAGAGTAGGTTTGATACCACAGTGTTTTCACACATAAAGCTCCTTTTTTGTACACTTGGGATTTTGATTCTGTGAAAATCTTCATCTGTCAATAATGAAGCCAAGAACAGACTTCGGCCACATTTTACAACCCTTTCAGTAACAACTTACTTGATCAGTCCTGTTTACCTGAAAAGTTCAACTCTGTAGTATCTCTTCTGGTATAGAGGTTGCAAATACAAACTAAGGCCAGTACATGAAGTGTATTAAAAGCTTCAGGCTGTGTAGCCTAACCGCACATCATTTGAGGACGTGAAACTATAAAGCATAGCCAGGACCAGGGGATGTTTGGGGATTTTTGTTTGGTGTGGATTTTTTTTTGGCGTGTTTGGTATTTTTCTTTAAACTTAGGCTAGTTGCAGAAGGGGAGGACACTTCAGCACCTTTTAGGTGAAACATGAGTGCTCCAATTAAAAACAGGACATTGGTCTGAATTCTACCTATGGTTTTGTCCTGTGGGCAGGTAGCTGATGGTTTGAAAAAAGCATACATCCAGATATAACACTGTATCAGCAGTACTGGTGCAGTCTCTCAAGAACTAATATTTCAGCTCTGAGTTTTTGTAGGGGTAGAGTTGCTTGTTGGGTTCCAAGGAACTGAGGTTGATAGATCAACTTGTTAAACACAGTTACTGGGCAATAATGACAGCTGAATTCACTGAGGGCAGTTCATAATTCTTTAAAATTGCAAAGTCATAGGTAATGGAATGGGATGGGGGCTGATGTCTTAAATGGATCAGTAGAAGTAAGCTGCTTTCCATTAGGATTATGTTCTGAAAGGGTTACAGTATGCTTTATTTTTTGCATGTGCCAAAATTTAACTGTAGCTGTTTCCCATTTGGGTATATGCAATAATCCATTAGCAGCTGGCCTTAAAAAAGTCCACAGAGCTCACCTGCCACTGCTACTGAAGGAGTAGGCACCAAAAGGTGGGTTTTTTTTCCTCCTCCCTGTCTGAGGCCCTAAAGCAGAAATACTTGGCTCAGTTACGAGTCTCATCTAGTAGCTATCAGAATTCCTGCACATGGGCAGTGAAGTAGGTTTAGAGACCTTGTCCTGCAAAGGGTACCTGCATGGATTTTAAAATGTTACGTCATTTAATCGATTATGATCATGCTGACTTGAATGTCTTCTTTTTTCCCCTGCAACTAGAAATAAAGTTCACAATTCATCACTTGTATCTGATACCTAGTACATGTTTTGGTTGAAGTTTATGATCTAAGCCAGTAAACAAATCCCATGTGAATACCAGTTAGGATAGATGTGTCTCACACTGATGCTTAACCAACAGCAAGAAATTGCACGGCCTCAGTAGTGAGACTTCCTGCTATGAATTTACACTTAACAATTTGAGGCTGTACTGAAACCAATAAAGAACACATGCACACATTTATTTAAAGAAATCTTTTAATAGAAAATCCTGAGAAAATTGTTCAAACAGACTGATCTCATTATTGATAATTCAGTACACTTGGCACCACCTAAGGGCTCTCTTTTTAGAAAATATCACGATAGTATCAGTTTTGCTACACAAAGTGCAAGCAGCCAGTGTGACTTCTGTGCTAGTGGTAGTAGGTATATTTTGGCATTTAAGCTTGCATGCGTAGTTCTTGCATGTTTGGTACAGGCCATTCTTTTAACATACCTGAATCTAAATTTGCTCCATTGTCATAATGCCATGACCAATGAGAATTTTTTAAATATCAGCTTTATGTGCTTTAGTTATCAAATGAAGAAAAGGTATTTGTTTTTATCTAGACATTAATAGTAGTAGTTATTTTCATAATAATATACCTCAACATTCCTTCCTTACCATGCATTACCGGCCTTTTAGGCCATCTCTTTTGCACAATTTTTCAGGCTGTAAAACAGTAAAGGATAGGATGTTTTAAGTAGGTAAGTGAATAAAACTCCTTTTTAACAGCCCAAATAAATGTCAAAACCAAAAATCTTTTCATTTGGAGCACTATCAGAGTGTAAACCCGTAAGTACAAGTATAGATAAATACTAATTTGGTTCCAATTTAATTTAAATACTAGGTAAAATGTGTATTTTAAAAAATTAAATCTGGAACAATAAAGACACTTTAAAAAATACCAGCTAAAAAGCCACAGAGAAAAACTCAAGTGCTTCTTGAAGGTGTCAAAATAGGAGGAAAAGAGAGGGTACACAAGCAAATATCACAGTCGGTAGGAAACAGAACAGGAACTCCTTCACCATAGGTCATTTTTGTGGAAGAAAGCTGAGAAATATTCAGTTGCAGAGGATGAAAGTAAGACAATATTGAGTCACACTTTTTCAACATCTGTTTGCAGATTGAGTGTATGAGTTGTAAAATTAAGTGGCAGATAATCTTTGCTTGGAGTCATGATGGTGAAGTGAGGAAAAATGCAGTAGCCTCCCAGGCTGCTCTCTCCAAAGGAAAACTAGAAAAAGCAGAGCCGTTCTGAATAAATGCAAAGCACGCAGTTATCTCCTGAGCCTTTGTAAATCCACAGTGAATTTAAGTTGAAGATGAACTAGAACTGTTCAGTGCTAGAGAATAAATAAGGTCATTCTCTGTATAGAGTCAAGTATTCAAGAATGAAACATTTTCTTGCATGTGTAACGATGATCTAAAGCTGACTTTCATGCCTCACTGATGTTCTCCCCTCTGCCCCCATTACCAGTAACTAAATTCCTAGTTTTAACATAGTTCTATAAAGCTACACTACACTGATGGTCTAGCTCCTTTAATTCTACCTAAAACTAAACAGATTTCCTCATCCAGAAGACTCAGCTCTCGGACCTTCTAACAGATCACAGTTGGCTGGGTTTGCCAGACCCTTGAAAATAGTGTTTCTCCTCAAGTGTAGTTGTTTCTTTTGAACTGCTGTAATCACTGACCTTTAATCTTCACACAAGTATTCTTACCATCCTTTCAAGCAAAATAAAGGTGATTTAGGTGATCTCCAGTCATCTTACTTTTGTTTCTGCTCTTTTCTGTTATCTTGTTTCTGTTCAGATTTGGCTAAGTGCTTGGGTATTATGAAAACACCTCCATTGCTACTGCAATGAATGACATACTGGTGTGGGTTAACAGGTCTACCCTGGTCATCCCTCAGTCTACTGAAAATGTCATGGTATAAGTTGTTTAATTTTTGCTTTATCTGATTGATTGATTTGCTACACTGGGAATGCTCCTTTTTAAGGCTCTCCTTTTGTGTTTGGAGATTACACACATCTTCTTCCAAGTTAAGAATTGCATTCAGTTTGCGTTTACGACATTTTTGGGCAGCTACCTTGTTTTTTCCTCTTCGTCTGATGTCACGTAGAAGCGATACCTGAGTTTCTGTCAGCTGGTTCTTTGCCAGCATGGTGTTGAAAGAGTCGACGGACATGCTCACAATTTCATCAACTGAAAATGGTATTCTCAGAGCTTTTGCATAACGTTCATCTCTGCTCCGGTTTGTAGCAGTAGAATTATGGCACCTATCTTTTACTTCGTTTGATTTCTTTATCCAGATCTGTTGATAATGCTCTGGAGTGGATGCTGCTTGACTTGGCAGTTGATTGTAAGTGTGATTATGAAGAAACTGCTGAAGCGTGGCTTCTGTAGAACACTCTGCATCACCTGGATATTCCACATGGCTGTGCTTAATATTTTCTTGGCAGTGGCCACCAACAACTCCTAAGCCATGTGAAGGAGCAGATTTAACATCACTGCTGTACCCAACAGAATCTTCACAGCAGACTGAGTAAGAGGTGGTGCTGTGATTTGAATTCAAAGACAGTCCTGAATCTGAGCCAGGCTCTTCAAAGATCTGAAAAACTTCTATAGGACTAAAACCTTCCTCCAAAGCCAAAGACATGAGCCTAATTTCATCAAAATTATCATCATGGGCTGTTAGATTCCTAAGGTCAGCAGCTGAAAATAGCCCTGTCAAATTTGACCCATGAAATAATGATTCTGGATTTGTGATATCGGAGCTTGTTTGAGGGAAAAACTCTTGCCTTTCTAAGTTTCTTGGTTTTGAATTTAATGGATTGGGGTAGTCTGTTCTTAGTAACATGGCATCAGGAGGACTGAAACTGTTCTGAAGTGTCTGGGTCATATTTATACTGTGGTGTGAAGAGGATGGGTCTTGGCCTCTACTAGAAGCAGCAACTTGTGTATCTTCCAGTAAGTTCACCTAAAAGATGAAGGGGGAAAAAATGGGATCTTTCATAAAATGAATGCTTCTACATCTCTCGCCTATACAGTCACGATCAATTTGTTTTTTAATATTCCACTACTTGATTCTATCAAAGCCAATTTTTTTATGTTAAACTTTTCTTCTAGCTATTTGGAGTGCTGTTTCCCATCTGTACAAAGCATGATCTGTATTGGCATATGGCAAAAGGAAGCAGGAAGGGTGCAGAAGTGACTGAAGGAATGGGAGAAGGACTGCAAAAGACAGTGTGGGACTGATGAGGGTTGAGAAGTAAAAGTGAGACTATTGCAAAGCATACAAACTATGGCCTATCTGTTATGTCTGACCTGGTCTAAGAAAAAATCCTAGGAGTGGTTATGATCCTTCCCTGGTAGTGGTATTGATTCGAGAGTGAGCTGGTTCAAGGTGCAAAACTTAGAAAACGAACCTTTTCAAGAAGATAGATAGCTCATCTGCAGAAGTTAACCAGTAAGAAGAGTGGTGAAGAAAAGAGGAGTTGAAGACAGGAGCATTAAGACTATGCTGTTGCAGTCTCACTACTTATTTCAGAGTTTAAGAAATTTAGAGGGCTGTGAGGTGGCACATTTTGTTTAGTTCCATTTAACTGAGGTCTACTGCATCCAAAACTCAGTTGAATTGTTTTACTGATCAGTTTGGAGGTAACACCCCCCCATCAAGTCACATCTTTTGTGGATGTCTTGACTTTAAATTACCACTCAGGGTTTTTTTACAAAACCAAAGCTGATATATGATGCCTTGGCCCTGATGTTCAATCCATAAACTGGACTGGTAATGCTGTAGTAGCACCAAGGCCCATCTTTTGTGGACCTAAGTTATAGTTGCTGGGTCTTAGAAGCACAAAGCCACTGTCCAAGATTACATTAGGTGCTTGCTGATAAGCAGAGTAGTCATAAAATAGATGGATACAAAGTACTTGAGAATGTAAATATATCAAGTAGGAAGTGTACAGGATTCCTCCATAGTTGGCTGTCCTTACTGTGTTTCAGGAAAGGACTTTCTGATTGCCATTCAGCGAACAGACTATATAAAAAGTACTTTCCACAGGGAAGGAATGATGTATCATAAGGACCACAGCATCTAAAATTCTCTATTATGCTTACTTACTGGGAGCTCAGGTAACAGAAGAAGGTCTTGCCTTATTTCTCCTAGGGAGTTACCTTGTACTAGACCACGTGCAGTCTGGGAGATAGAGATGCTATTTTCAACTAATCCCTTGAAAAGAACGATTCTTGGTAAGTCAGCTGTCAAAAAAATCCCACTCACTGTAAAGACTTGATACTTGGCAGAAACAATCAATCCATATTTAACAGATAGATTGTCACAAGATGGCAGTGCATTAATAATGTTAAATGAAATATGCAGTATGTTACTGTGTATTGTAACAGCTGCATAAAGGCTACAGCCAAATTCCTTTCAAATTCAGAGAACAGAGAAAACTACACTGATGAACTTCTAGTTAGTATGCAATCCATTTCCAGAACTGAAGAGGAGGCTAATTTATGGGCTAGAATGTACTATCCAAGCTAGAGATTCCCAAGACCAGATAAGCATGAAGTTATATGGAAAATGCTCATGACCCCGGAAGAGGATCCTATGATGGGAAGTGTGTGTAAGATGCCCTTGAAGTATTGCAAAAAAGGAATGTAAGGAGTAGCTTCATGGTCAATGGCTGCAGCTATGAGCTGTGGGAGAAGAGGGGGACTTCAATTAAGATAATAACCTTTTTTTTGAAGACAGGTGCACAGAAAGGAAAATATAGTATCAGAGGGCTACATGATTAAAAAAAAAAAAAAAACAAAAACACTAAATGGTTTACTGCTAGTGCTGACTGATCTGATTTGCAGTGACAGTAGTAACCCTGTAAGCACGTGACCCAAAATTTATGACAAATTTAATCTTTCACCACAAATGCCCAATAGCTGTTACTGTGTAATAAATCAGTGTTGCTCTAGGGAAACACACCAGGAGCTGCTGCATAAATATAAACTGATATTAGGTTTCAGAAAGGCAACTATTAGTTGAACTAACTAATTGAGTTGTCCAGTGGCTCCATCCAACTTTGAACACCAGATCACAGTAAAGACACAGCTCTTACACCAGACAAGTTGCTGGGGAAAATTTTTCAAAGTAGAGCCAATGAGAGCTGCTGTAAAAGGTGGATAGTAACATCTTTAGCAGTTTCAGGTAAGTTTTACTACATTGATTTGCTAATATATTACCAGAGTGGGTGGGGTAGGCTGTGGTTATTCGATAAAACAGAGTAATTCCTGACTGTATTCCAATCTATTGGCAATACCTGTATTTTCTCATTTACCTCTAGCATGTTTTCCACCTGCGATGGCAGAAGCTGTAAATAACCCTCTAAGGAGAGAAGGGAATCTACATGGTTGCTGTGGTTCTGTGACAAAAGAAAGAGAAACACGGTGTAAAGCACACATATTTTACACAAAAGGAGGTAAAAGTCAAAGTCTGAGAGGAAACACAGCACAGTGCAATACTGCTGCTGACCCCACCAGCAAGTCTTCATCCTGATGGGAGATGAAATGTTGCTAGAATGAGCAGAAGAATTCCATGGCCTGAGCATCCCTACTCTGCCCACAACAGCAGAACTGGGCTTTCCTCTGAAGCTGTACCTCTCCACCAGTGCGGAAAATCAGGTATTTTTTCAAAGCCAAGCTCTCAGGGGAGTGGCAAACAGAGAGGCTGGCGAGACACTGGATCAGACATTCTCAGCTCTCACAAAGTCTAAAGAAAATTGAGTGTCTCTTTCATTGTAGCTCTTAGAGAACAAAACTGAAGAGTCCAGTGTCCCAAATATAAGTCTACATCTGAGCATCAAGCTTTACATAAATGGTGAGAGCAGTATAATTTAGGATACATGTCTCTAGTGTTTGTAGGCAAAAATATCCTTGCCCACACAAGCACAACATCTTCACAACAGAGAAAATAAACCCAAATTAAAAAATGATTAATTGCAATTGTTTTCTGTAAACTTGTGAATATTTCGACTACTGAAAAAATAAGTGGGGAATTGAGGGAAGGATGCAATTTTCAAAAAGGTGTACAAGGGCATCATTCACAAAGCATTGTATGAAGTGAGCATTCCTTTCCTGACCTGGCAAGGAACACTTCAAATAAAAAGAGGAAATTAATTATTTCTTTCAAAACCTTTCACTACTATTTATATCTTAGTGATAAGTTCCATATCCTTCCCCACTTCCTCTTCAGTTTTCCCTTCTTCCCATTTTTTCATCACTTACTTGATTTATGTCTTTCTCCTCTTCTTGCAGTTCCAGCCGATCCTCTCGAGGTGGACAGCACTCATCCAAAGCTCCCTGACATGCTTTCAGGTCAACATCCTGAAGACACAAATGAAACTGTTCTATTATGCAGCATGCTGTCAAAATTTATCTTTAAAATGCACTTTTTTTTCTCCAGTGATAACATTCAAATAAAATTTCCAATTTCCAAATAAAATATGCACTGAACAGGTCATGTGGATGAGCTGAGTGTGTAGACTTTGGGAGCAGAATAAGACCAGTGTCAGTTCAGGGGGGCAGCCACCACCTCCTGTTTTGGTGCCCAGGCACTGAACCCATCTGCAGTAGAAATGTACACTGCAAACAAATTCTTCTAAACCAGACAAAGAACCATTCTGTCATTTCATGAAAAATCTGGACTATCAGTGTTTTTTGGAGGTCATTTCACAACAACATACCGAAGCCAGAGAGATATTCAGTGATGGAATCTTAAAATAGGCAATTATGCGTGGCCAGTTAGCAAAATCCCTTGCTTACCTGTGCTGTAATAGAAACCGTTTCCAATCATTTCCATGTAGACATTACCCATTTTCATTTATCCAAATGATGATGGAGTTTTTTTAATCTCCAGTGATGAGATTGTTCAAATTTAGGGGCCTCAGAAGCAATTTTCAAGTTTTATTTTATCTATATTCATATCATCAGACTTCTTCATTCTTTATTATATAGAGCTGGAATATTGCTAGAGTAGGGAGGAATCAGTGCTAATTCCTATTTTTAAAAAGTATGTATTTATATTTTAAAATACTTTGATATTTCAGCTTTTACAGGGCAAGTCTGTGTTATTAAAATGTGAAACTCAGTGGAATGGCAGCCAGGAAACCACATGGCATTAGTTCCAGGTATTCCCAGCAAAATGCTATGGCAGGAGCAGAAAAGACAAGTTTTCAACAGCAGTAAACATAATGAGATACTGTTCGGTTCTAAAAATCTCAGCAAACAATTTACTTTACAGGTTTGTTATGAAAGCATAAACTACATAAAATCTGCAGTTGTAATAGTCATCAAAACATATAAAAGTTTCAAAGTTGCTCCTCCATACAAAACACAGTAAGAAGTAAGTATAAAAAGTTTAAAAACAGGACTCTGGAGTAAAATTAAATATAATTTTAAAACAAATGTATATTATTTTCCATTTTGTACATTCTGATAAATATTTTAAAATATTAAAACAAAGTTTATTTTAAACTAGTTTTGTTTGTTGGCTTTCAATTTTTCTGTACTTTCTTTTCAAGACTGGAAGAGAACTTAAGCTTTATAAAGAGCCATTTGTAAAAACAAACAGATCTACAGGACACTCCATCTGTCCCTCTGATATAAGAGTGAAGAGTTTCCTTCAACGATGCCTAACACGTTTCTACTCATTAGAAATTATATTCCAATACATTCTGTCTTGTCAGCTGCATGTGGAAATGACCAGATGATTTTTTTATTGCCAAATATGAGAAAACAAATTTACTTGCCTAAAATCAGACATGCACACATACAAAACAACGATAATAACAAAATAAACCTCCTAACCAACAGTTTTCTCTATGTAGTTAAACAGGAGAGGGCATTTACTATGTAAGACACTGAGAAGAGGGTAAGTAGCTACTTGTGAACACTTAAATTGAGTCCAGTGGAGCAGATCACAGGCATGAAGTTAGTCCCATATTTACATGCTTGCAAGATCGGGGCTAGGCTTTAATTTAACAGGGAACCAAGCTAATGCTTGTCGCATTAATGTGACCTGTTAATATTCTAATTAATACAATTCACAATCATCAAAAGTGATTAAGTTGAGGACAACTGCTATTAAAGACCTTAAGCAGTTCCTCCGGAGCCAAGTGGCCTGGAAAGTTGCTGCTGTAGCAGAGCATTCAGCTCTTGGATAACCCAGCAAATTCATTATTCTACTGGCTGCAGAAGAGGCAAATGCAGGAAGTAGTTAGAAATGTGGTTATCTATAATGTGATGCCTCAAAAAACCAACTGCAAGCTCTGGGTTTGTATACAGAATGTATATGAGTCACAACTTGATTGTTCCTTTCAAAATTTCCAGGGGTAAAAATCTATTCCCCTGCCAGGGAAAATAAAAGCTTGGGATAGTTTTGGGAAGAGCCCATGTTGTGTCCTATTCAAAATCCTCACAGTTTAACTTTCTTACAGTGAAAATCTGACTGTAATATATTTTCTCTACTCAGCCATAGATGTTGTCATGGTACCCACAGTTTCCAGGCTGAGAGGCACCAGCTGCACTACAGGATCACAAACCAATTTGCCTAAAGGACTCTTGGCCTTAAGCACAGAATGAAGGTCAGAATCTCCCTCTGATCTTTGCATGGAGCTCCTGCTAATGTGAATGGAACAGAGGTGCCAGTGGGAAAGGTGGGAAGCAGGGTCTCACATTTGCAGTCATGCCCATTCCCTGTAGCTTACCAAAGGGAATGTGTCATCTGAGTGAGTTTATAATGCTGCACTGTGTGGCTCTGAAGATTAGTCTTACTAATACCATTTCTTCCTCTGGCAGATGATATTAAAATATACTCATGGCTTCTCACAGCAACTACTACTGCAGGAAGTTTTCCATCCTTTGAAAAAAACTGTTTCCACCACTACCAGAGGACTTGCTGAAGGATCCTGGCCCTGTAGCCAGGTTTTCACAACAGTGGTGGTACAGATACGGCATATGTAAGATATTTCACATCACCAATTTTCACCTATGAGGTCATTTCAGCAAAACCCTCTAAAGAGCAATCAACCAGAACCTTTTTGCCTTTGTTTCTCTGTTTTGGCTCTTCACAAAAATCCCCTGGATAATGCTGATAAAAGTTTATGCTCTTTATTACGCTTCACACCAGCTTGTTAGTTTTCCTCAGTGATGAAGAATGACTGAACAGCACAGCTCAACAATAGAATGCTTCCTTCCACGCCTGTTGTATCACTTGGGACTGCTGGACAACTGCTAAGGGGACAACAGGAGGGGTGTCACCCCAAGAAACAGCTACACTATGTTTTTGAATAAGGCATTTCATTAAAGATACCTTAATTCTACAGACTGGATGTACATCTAATGGCAAAAGCTTTATTATAGAGTCTGGATATTAACCTAATTACAAGAAGGATTAGGCATAGATATTATTTAGTCAGCACTGTGCTGCCACATTCAGTGTTTTTGTCCTTCCCATCCTTATTCTGCAACAAAGGTAACAGAAGAAACAGTAATTGAGTAATACCAAGAAATTGGGACAGCATGTGGTTGTCTCTGTATAGAGAAAAAGACTTAATTTTTGCTGATTGTAGAAGACTTAATAATACCACCCAACCCATCTACTGCAGCAGCCTTTCCATTTCTAGTGCTGGAGGGTGTGGAAGTTGATGCCTCCAACAGTAGGCTGTTTCCAAACTGCAACCCTACCTGAGGGCAACCTTCGATTTGCATCTGGAAGGACTTCTGTGCAAACACAAAGCCAGAGAGTTTCACTAAAATTCTCATCATAAAATAGTAATAAAAAAATAAAATCCCAAATACATGAAATTTTCATCTTACTTCTGCCACTTACTAGTTTTAGTTGCATTAAAGAACACAGTCTGAGACTGAGTATGATTAACCAAATTATCCACCAGCCTTGTATGAGTAGGGCTGGGCTCTAACCGTGCACCTGCCCTTTCCCTACAGTACAGCTTACCACAGGTCAGCTATAGGCTTCAGTTTGTCAGTCTTTGGAATATGAAAAATAGTAGTTTATGTCTAATCTGCTACTTAAGGAGGGCCAAGAATCAATGTGGAAGCAAGAGAAAGTATGGTTTTGTGGGTGGCCTGGCCTACACTTAATTGGAAGCATGCTGCCTGCTCTGGCAGGGTTCCAGAGTTTCTTACTCTATGTTAAAAATAGAGCCTTCAGTTTTCAATTAAGTAAATCAGAGTATTGATCTCAGCATGAACTGGGTGTACTGTACATCAAACTATCCCTCCACGTATCTCCTCTCCTCGCTTCCTACACTCATGTCTTATCTGCGGTGTATTGGATGGATGAAGATCTCTCTGAAGGAGCAACAGAAAGCATAATCAATCTGTTTTCAGCTATTGATCCGTGTGCAGTTGGCACACAGGACTAAAACTACACAACCCAGGGCTGCAAGTGCACAGAAATACTTGAACTAGCTCTGGAGAAACAGAAAGGTCTTGCTGGAAGAGAGCAGAGCAGACAGGGTGGCTTGCCTGGGTGCCCAGACTGAGAGGGAGGGGGGTACCTGCCCCTGGAAAGCTGTTTCACTGCAGTCGGACTCAGAGCTATCACTACAAATATCCCAGTGCTGGAACCAAGCTACATGACAGCAATCATTTGCAAAAGAACATTTTTTTTCGGTGCTGATTACTCATGTATCCTGTTGATGTGCTATCTTATAATTACTCTACATTATGCTCTCTTTATTTTAGTTAAGTTTTAAACTGCTCCATTGATGTCATTAACCTTTGAGATGGTTTACTGCAAACTTTTGTCCCTTCTCCATTACTAACTACACTTCTCTGTAGAACTAGCCCTCTCCTTGTTATCAGCTGAAAAGATGTGGCACAGCCTGGTGCTCTTTGCCATGTTTAGAATAATTAAGTAGCATTTCCAGAATAGAATCATAGAATGGTTTGTGTTGGAACAATCCTTTAAGTTCGCACAACATCAGCAGAAGTTAAGCAAAACAGCTTCTAGTAACATAACCAGCAGTTTCACTTTCCTACTTGGTAGGATTAAATACAATTAATAATTAAATATAATGATGTGTATCTGATACTATTCAGCTCTAATTTTAGTGATCTTACTCTTTGCCTGTGTACTTTAAATATGTGATAACAATCTTACAAACTGTTATCTACTTAATAGATTTAAAAACAAAGGAAGAGAAATATTTCTTGCTGTTTTTCTATATTCATAATAAGCCCTAAAATATCCTGAACACACCAGAGCAGACGAGTACTCTATTTTTTGAAATGCAGCCAGGGTTTAGAATGTGTGGAGGGTACAGTGGTGGATGCAAACACCAAATATTAAAGTAACTTTC